AGAGAGAGAGAGAGAGAGAGAGAGAGAGAGAGAGAGAGAGAAAGTAACCATACGTTTCAGCTTCAGCGTCCGGCCTATACTTCACCCACGTTTACAGACTCATTCATCGACTGAGTACTTGATACAGTAATAAAAACAAAACCATTTTAGTCCGGCGACACTCACCTATATCTGTATTATGACCACCTTATAGCCTGATGGCGCCCACCTATATTATTCATATGACCACCTGTTACCATGGTGACGCTCACCTATATAGTCATATGACCAACTGCAACCATGACAAATCTTACCTATATTTGTATTACCACGTGTTACCATGTCAACCAACTCTTGTTTGACCACCTGTTACCATGTCAACCAACCCTTGTATGACCACGTGTTACCACGGCAACCAACCATTGTATGACCACCTGTTACCATGACAACCAACTCTCACCTGTGCTCGCATGTCCAGCCATCACCACAGTCCATGCCGTTGATGGGCACGCTCTTGGTGCTCATATCTCCGTGGTGGGGTGGACCCTCCCAGTCATTGGCGCGGTTATATTCGTAGCTGCTCATGATGCGGGGGAAGCCGTAAGGATGGGCCAACATAAAGGCTGTTGCCAGCTGATGAAACAAAATTAGTAGTTCACGGATTTGAAAAAGGTGTTGGTAGTGTTTGACCTCGAGCAGGGTATTCATAGACAGAGTGCGAAGACCAGATTACTGCTACTACCTTGCTCCTTCTTACTGCAGTATTACAGCCGCACCCCTAGTCTTAGGTTTGATCAGATCTAACATACAGCCTTCTCTGATATATCAGTGCTCGTGAGAATTATACAAGTTCTCCCTTGAGTGTGCGGGCACGACAGAACACGTATTATGTGTCACGACAATGTGGAATCTGGGGCTTGTAAATTCTAGGGCATATTGGGTCAGTGTTATTAGTTTAAAGCTTGTTCAATTGTATAGCTTTTTATGCCCAAAAAACAAAACCACCAACAGATGTTAGGAACAGAAGTCGAAATATTTGCAATTGAAGGATATGAGGGCAGCCTCCTGTCAGAAGTAAATTAAAAGAGAAAATGACCGTCAAGGTTTGATGACTTCCAAAGCTTGACTGCCCTTGGAAATTGCAAGTTTATATTTTTAGTGTCTTTGGTCAACATCTGTCAGTAAAATCCATGCTGGAAAAGTGTTTTTAAAAGGACCCGAAAGGTGATACGCCCAAAACCCCAAATTTAAAAAAATATTTTTTTTTTATTGAAAAAAAAAATTGCTGAACGAGCAGAAAATAATTGTGGGGTTTTTTTGGCTTGATTCCATCATTTTGACAAGGGCTGGATTTTACCACGATGCCACAGAAAGGTGTTGTTGTTGTTATCGATCCAGCAACAGCTGGGCTCTCACCCTTCTGTCCAATGCCGTGTAGTGATAAGTGCAGGTTTGCTGCAGTTTCTGTAATGTTCCATAGAGTGTGTTATCAATGTTAGGTCTCGGAGGGAGAAATGTAGCCACAGAAAGGTGAACACACACAACCATGTACTTTCTCACCTTGTAGGGTCTGGAGTTCCAGTGGGTGAGGACATTGCCGCCTCCCCCATGACCTCTTTGGTTGTCGTGGTTGTCCACAAAGTTGACCACGTCTCCTGTGGCCCACATGCCCCAGGATGCTCCCCAGGTGCCCAAGTACTTCAGTGGGTTCTGATGTCTGTTAGACGCATTTAAATAATATTTTATGTTAGTTTGGTACTAGTCAATGTAAACTAAAGGCGATAATCGAAATAATATGTTTCTTATGCGACTGTTAAGAACTGTGTGAGTAGAATTGAAATAAAAAATGTATGAAATATGATGAATATTCTGATTTTTTAAGTATCTTTTTAAAGGAGGGACTTGTTGTTTTTGAGTGAACGGATGGAATAGAATCCAGTAACAAAGCTGAAAAGCATAAAGACCAATTTCATTTGCAATTCACATAGATTAAGCGATGTTGTGATGAGAAATGGACGCAATCTTCTCTGTGGCTTCGGTAGTCTGGTGGTTAAGCTACCGGACTCATAATCGTGAGTTTGCATGTTCGGGGGTTCAAGCCGCAGGGCCGACATTGCGCGCATGGGAAAGACACTTTACACGAATTTTCCTCACTGCATCCAGGTGGGAACGGGAACCAGGACATAGAAAGCGAAAGATCTTGTCAGTATGTTCGTGTTTTAGCGCCTGTAAATGGCAGTTTGCACTGTGTGCTTCGAAGGAAGATGAAATTGTGTCAGATATTGTTTTATGTCGGCGTGAGGATTTGTTCAACTTACTGGAACAAACGGGCGACCTCCTTTCCGAATTTGAAGTTGGTGATACGGCCCACATCCAGGTATTCTGATGCTTTGATGACTTCGCCGCCCATGTCAATGACCTCATGGTACACGAACGGACGACCGCCTTGTTGGACATTCTGTGGGAGACAAAGACAGAGAGAAACTAAACGGGATGTAGGAAAAAAACCCCAAAAAAACCCCAGAATGAAAGCTCGTTTTCTCGAGACTGTCTACGGTCAAAATATGGAGTCCATTCAGCGGGTGGTATGGGTATTTTATGTATAAAAGAAATGTCGATTTTCAAACTATCGAATACCGTGTACATAGAGACAAAATTATTAGAGTTAGTTTCCTTGACAAAAGTAAACTGGAGTGTGAGAATGGTAAAGAGAAGACAATGGAATAAAGCAGGAAATGGAGGACATAATTATTACTACATTATGTGCCGACGCGCAGAAACAGTCAGAGGGGAAGGGAGGGGGGAAGTTCGAGAACAGCACGACTGCGAAGTGGCTTCTAACTTCTTATACCTAATTAAACCTGTTACCTGAAATATAAATCAATTAATCAACCTATACTATATCATATCTTATGGTAAGGCGAGCTATGGTTATCGTGTCTTGCTCAAAAAGACACCACAGCGAACGCCCATTTAAACCTTGTGCCATTGACACTAGCATGACATTATTTGTGAGTCTAAACGCACTAACCACTCGTTCAACGGATAGAAAGATTAGAAAGAAAGAAAGAAAGAAGATAGAAAGAAAGAAAGAAAGAAGATAGAAAGAAAGAAAGAAACAAACAAACAAACAAACAAACAAAGAAATATGCATCGTGCATATACGAATGAGTGAATATCTGTAATAGATTCAAGACAAACCAAACCTAACCCGCACAATATGTCTCTTACCTTGACCTTGCCCAGAATGGCCTTGATATCACCGGGCCACATGTGTTTGGCGGCGTCCACTCTGAATCCAGCGACACCCAGGTCAATGAGATGGTTCAGGTAGCCAGCCACTTTCCCGCGGACGTAGTCCTTGCCCAAGCGGAGGTCAAGCAGGTTGACCAAACGGCAGTTTCTGGAGGTACATACAGAACATATTTTCAAGTTTGATCTTTTTTAGTGGGCTTAGTCGTACCAACGTCTGTGGTGTAGCTGTCAGGTGCTTTACTGTTGCACGCAGAAAATCTGAGTCCGATTCCCGCTTGTGTGAGTGTGCGTCTGTGTGTGTGTGTGTGTGTGTGTGTGTGTGTGTGTG